CCCGACCCGCCGCCCGAGCCGCCGCCTCCGACTGAGGTGGAGGTGGAGCCAGAGCCGACCTCCGCCGCGCCGCGAGACGGAAGGCTGCGCAAGCCGCACGAGTTCGGGTTCGCGCTTGCAAAGGCGGGAGGCGCCGGGGGAGAGGGCGGGACGGGGGGGCAACATTCTCAGCCGATCGGCCTCGCCCAGGCGCACCGCTCCGACGCGGCCGCCTCGAGAGCCGCGCTGGCGGCGCTGCTTGCCCCTCGGCCAGAGGGAGGGCTTGCGGATGGCGCGGCGCCGTTTGCAGGCACCGGCACAAGCTGGGCGGTGCACGCTTGCAACGCCGCCCGCTAGTGCCAGAGTAGTGGGCTACTGGGTGCGCAGAGAGGGCTTGGGCGCGGTGCCCCGAAAAACACAAGGAGAAGCAGGCATACGTTTCGAATACCATGTTGATATTCCCTATTCGCGCGCGGACCACACCGGATCTAGCGCCGTGGCCCCCGAGGCCGAGCGCCCGTCGCGTTCGTCGCGTTCGAGCCGCGAGCCCGTGTGCGGCGGCGCGGCGGTCGCCGCGCAGGCCAGCCGCGCACCCCTCCAAATAAATAAATAAATAAAACGGACACCCCTACTGTGAGATGGGTAAAAAGGAACAGGTCCCCGCCCTTGGTAGGCCCTTGCGATGTTTGTGCAGGGTTCTTTTTGGACACACACACACTCTTTTTGTGGGTGTGGCTAGTTCCATTTCACTCTCTGACACGCTAATCTTGAAAACGTCCAACGGAGCTCCGTGTTGCTCCCAGCGCCCTCCCCCGCGCTTCCTGCGGCCCTAGCCGATGGTACTATCCTTGGAGTCGGGTGCCGCCTGTGCTACTTTGTTGATCGCCGTCCCCGTCTGCGCTCGCGCTACTCTGAGGAACCATCTGGCCTGCTCCCTATTCCCCAGGCACCCCTCCACCCGGCTTCCTAGACCTTAATATATCCTCCACGGTACTACGCGGTAGATCAAACAAATCTAGAGCAGGCCTCTCCAGGTAGATCTAAATAAAAACGGTCACGCATTGCGACGCGGTTTCTTTTGCTCTGCCTGTTGCCCGCGAACGGCCGTTATGCCTGAGTACCGCGAGCCTTCCTGCCTCCGTGACGTCGCCGCCTTCCACCGCCTCTTCAAGGCGCCAGTGGTCGGCTCGCCAGCAATCCCTGACGCCAAGAGGTGCGCCCTGCGCGTGGAGCTGCTGCAGGAAGAGCTGAACGAGCTAAAGGAGGCTATCTCGCAGAACGATCTGGTCGAGGTGGCCGACGCCCTCGCCGACATCCAGTACGTCCTTGCCGGGGCCGTTCACGAGTTCGGGCTCGGCACAAGGTTCGCCGACCTGTTTGCTGAGGTTCAGAGATCAAACATGAGCAAGGCATGCGCCACGAGGGAGGAGGCCGAGGCGACCGTCGCGCACTACGCAGCCAAGGATCAGCCGGCGAGGATCGAGGAGTGCGACGGCCAGTACCTCGTTTACCGCACGGCCGACAACAAAGTGTTG